CTCCTTCTCCTGATATTGATGTGCATGCAGAGAGGTTTGCAACCAATTACATGAAGGTGTTGCTATGCCCCCCCCCATTTATCTCAACAACATATCATCGTCAGGATGATATATATTTGAACACTCAAAGGTTGGATTCATCGTTGGATCTATGGGGTGCCAGGTGCGAACCTGTTATCTCTCTTAACAGGTCACAATTATTGCAGATTCATGTGACTCTTACTACTGTTTTAAGATACTTCTCTTCCCTTCAACTTTTGTCTGAAGCATATCACCAGTTGCTTCAACAATTTGATGATGAACTGGGCCATTTACTGGTCACTATTATGACATCTTTATCCTCTTCAGGGCTTCCCTTGGTGTTGTGATTGATCTGTTGCCGGGACTTGTTGAGTCGTGATGCATTTTTGGAGGGCATTCACTTACCTTCTTCTGCCCTTCGAGATTTACGGGAAGTGCCTTTTCTTCGGACTTATTTATCATCTTTGGCTGCTTGACCCTATTCTACCTCCACTTGTATTTCTGCATGTTCATCCCCTCGTGTCTCAAGGCCCCCTCCTTCCACTTCTTATTCCATTGGTTCTGTTAATCATTTCCATCCTTCTTCTCGGGAGATATTTTGCATGCCGGTATGTGGACTTCTTCCAGCACGTTCCTATCTCATTACCTTCATGATCTGGCAGTTTTCTCTTCGAAGGGACTTCGTCTTCCCCCTGTGGTTGTGTTAACTACCTCTACTAGATTTTAACAGGGTGGTGAGTAACGTGTTATCTGATTTACAGTTATTGTTCTTTTCTCTTCTAGGATCCCTATTGATTTTTTGGACCTCACTCAGAGGTGAGTGTTGCCCAGTCAGGTATGCTTGTATTTAAATTCCACACTAGCAACCTTTATATCGGTTCCTGGAGGCTATGGGTTTTGTCCAGATGAAGTGTTCCATAAGACCATCTGGATGCAATTCTGGATGGTGATATCATATTACAATATTTCTAATGAACTGCTACTCATGGACTATAATGAGTAAAGCTAAAGGGGATCTTGCCAGTCCCTACTGACTTAGAGCTGAATCAGTCAAGATCAATTTGCTTTTAAAAATTAGGGAACGTGGTTCACCTGTTGCACTGTCTCTTAGAGCTGAATCAGTCGAGATCAGTTTGCTTTTAAAAATTAGGGAACGTGGTTCACATGTTGCACTGTCTTCGGAGACCTGTTCCTCAGGACTTCCCAATGCTTATGTTCCCTCCTTACTTCTACTAGTGGAGCTCAGGAGTCCTTACCACACTCAATTCCCAGTTGCTGGGGTGGTGGACATAGGATTTACCTTCAGAGTGTTGAGTTTTCTCCACTCTCAGAGAAGAGGGCGAAGTTGGGGACCCTCCTATTTGGGTCCCTGGAAGCTTTTTCTCAGATGTTGGTTGGAGCAGGACCAACCTATGTGAGAGCCAACTCATAAAACTAGTCCAGATTTGATGCTTAGCTATCCAGTGGGGGGTGCTTGGATCCTCTTATAAACACTGTCAGGTCTTATGTTGTTCATGCAGGGGGTCCACTATCTCCTCGTAAATCCAACCACAGTCCCATCTTTGGTGGGACAGTGTTCCACATCCTCTCCTTAATTCCACGGGTAAGTGGAATTCTCCTTGCCCACTTGGTGGGGGAGTAAAGACAACTGTTTGTAAATCCAGACTGGATGAGTTCTGGACTTTGGTGGAGTATGGCATATGATCCTGTCGATCCAGACCTGGGGTGTTGCCTTTTGGACTTCTTCAGGCTGTTTGGCCGGGGCTGTATCATCATACTTGTATTATATTCCACCCTTTTCAATTTTCTGTAGTTCTGGGTGAAAAGCATACCTGTTCTGGATGTAGTGCAGTGTTTCCCACTTTGATACCACTTCCCGTGCTACATATTTCTTCTCTGCAGATGCTTTCTGTATGATCTCTGTCCTCACCGGCCCCTCCGCCTTCTCAATGTGGGATTCTAGCTATTAGTGTTAATGGAGGTTTGTATGTTTTGGAAGTTATCATTTTCCTAAACTGAAAATATACTTCCAAACATACTTACCTCCACTGACACTCTCTCTCCCTTTCTTCCTCCTCACTAAGAGCCGGTGTTAGTGACCGGAATGTGGTAAGTTTCAAAAAAGTGATTTTATTGTCTGCATACAGTGCTTATATACAGTACCTACATAGAGGGCCTGTGTAAAGTTTTACAAATTAGGTATTGCCAAGAGCAGTCGAGTGGGGTATATAAAGACTGGAGCAAGCGAACACAACATTAGATGGCAAAGATGAAGATTGAGAAATAGCTATTATTGTCAGTGGAGGTAAGTATGTTTGTAAATTCATTTTCAGTTTAGGCAAATGATAAGTTATTTTTATATGCTAATAAGCCAGTTACAATTATTGCATTATAATCATCATTTATACTATGCATCACATGTGACAACAACACAAGTGAAGGGTAACATTAATCAGTCTTTGAACTTCTCTTTATGTTTTATCATCTGTTTAACAGTATTAACATAATAAAAATTTTTTGTGTTTCAAAACTAAATTCAATTCACCAAATTTTTCATCCCTCTCTTTTTTTTGAATCTCTATACAGATCCAAGTCTTACAAATTTCATATTATAATCCTCTTTTTGTGAAAAGCGAGTGGATCCAAGCAATTTGGAGTACCCGTTATTCTCTGAAGGTTCCAAACATATCATTTACTTCGTGCCCTGATAGAGGAGTAGCCGTCCAATACCATTATCCACGATGTGTTCTTGGTAGAGACCTAATAAGAGTCTTTGGTAGTTCACAGAAACTAGGAGTAATTACTGGAACAGACTATATTTTTGAAAGCAAGATCAAAGTAGGAAGTTACACATCTTTGTTTCCATGTGATATATTCCTCTCTGGATATGAAATATACTGTTTCACTTATGTCAGCATGGGAAGAAATGGAGCAGTGTTTGACATAAAAAATGTCTGTGTACCAAATGACTTAGATGCTGGTAAGATAGGTTTGATCTTTTAATTACATGCCAGATTCTTTTCAAAACTTGGAAAAAAAAAAAAGTTAAAAATAAAGAATAATTTGCCTTCAACCACATTGTTTAAATAAATTTTTTCTGCAATATGGATGTTTCTTAGTGTGCCAGAAAGTAAGAAATTTTTTTTTTACAGCTGGATTAATTCTTAACTATTTTATTTGATACTGATCTGTAACCCTTTTACTACCAACATCATTATTCTGTGTTCACTGGTCATGGTTGGTTCTTTCAAAATTGTATGTGAACCAAGAATGATATTGTTTAAAATTCACTGTTAAAAAAGTTAAATTCCTATTCCATGATTTCATTGATGGTTAAATTAAAGTTTTAGGACATTTCATATGTAAGAGGTTATAATATTGTATGAGCTAGTGATTATTAATAATTTCTATTTAAAAGTAAGTTAACTATCTAGTTTAGAACTAAAAAAGTAATTTGTAAGTTATTGAAGCCTATCCTGTATAATCAAGTGAATGGAATTACTTGATGTCATTAGAGAAATTTAACAACAATTGTAGGTCCTTCTTGAATGAAAAATTTAGATTTCAAAAGTACAACTCTATTGTGTTTGATGAAGTGACTCATTAATTCACACTTCAAGGAGACAATGTAGTGAACAATATTTTGTAAAAATTTGTGTTTTTAGTGTCCTAATAAAGAAAGAAGAACTCCAAAAGGTTTATAAAAAGATGATAGAGGTATTTCCATAGATCTTCATGAAATTTGAGGTACAGAACAGAGATAACTATGTTAAGACCTAAGTATACATCAAGCACTTCATTAAATAATGGTACTTAATTGTCTTTTAGTTCAGAGCATAAAAGTACAAAGGGCTTTGAAGGGTGTAATTTTTTACATGACGAGTTAGAAAGTATTATTGTCATTGTAGGAACAATTTAACAGTTACACTAATATATATATAGATTGAACTTCTCTGGGAAAGAAGTTTTTACAGCTGTTATGATAATTCATCTTTTACATGTAATCTCTTACTTATGCTTACATAATTTAGTGTATTAGGTTTATATTTTATTTTAATTTTTATCTGCTAAATTTAAATTGGACTATTGTTTTCATAGTTTCATAGTAAAATGTTATGCACAGCACATGATACAAATACTTTACTGCAAAATGTATAAGAATTACTATTTTAATATTGTTAGTGAGAAATCAGTATGTTTGGACATCTTGGAGTTCTTGGACTGGCTGTTCAGCTGTATGTGGAGTAGGAGTTCGTAGCCGATACAGATTATGTGCCAAAGCTTTCCACTGTGAAGGCTCCAGCATAGAAACAAAATCTTGCCAAGTTACCAATTGCCCAGGTAATTCTATTGTAGAAAGTGGTAATAGTAATTTGTAACTTTACCAAAAAATGATAACTATTCAGGAAAACATCACTAGTTATTTCTTGGTGAGCATCTGTCATATTGTACATGCGTTAGAACTTAAGTGATATATAGAGGAACTTGAAAAATCACCAGGCATATGATATTGTAAACATATACAACTAAATACAATAGTGATATAGATATTTTAACAGAACATATGGGAAAAAATGTTTTCATTTTATTGTTGTCGTGGCTTACTGTTTTTTTTTCATCATTCTAACCAAGGTGCTATGTGAGATAAACTGATTTTGATATAGTCTACTTACTAAAAAAAAGTGTAATAGAGATATATTTGTAATTCTGTTGGAAGGGGAAACAGTATACAATAAACATGTTTCTGAGTTGCAGGTATAATAAATATCTTACAACAAAAGTAAATGTGTTAGATATTAAGAACTTGTCAAATCATTACTATTGTTGTAACAGTGTTCTTTTATTGACAAAGTCCAGTCCAAATAAACAATAACAAATTAGTTTATTTCCTCTTTGGCATTTTCAGACACTTGAACGCTGTGGTAACTTTTAGGGCATGTTTACAAATGATGCTAATTGCACTGATATAAAAAATCAACTTGTACTTCTTGACAAGGTCTCAGACTTATCAGATGCCACACAACCATGATGATGCTCAGTCCCCTGTATTTACTTCTTGCTGTAGAACAGGGGGAAGAACATGGACAGACAATTCTAGATACTCTAGACATTGGCAACTCTTCTTCCTGAGTCATCATCTGTAGTGAAATTGAAGTCAGGAACTTTTGCAGATGCTGCAAAAGTCAGAAATCCAGGAGAGGACTTTTCCTAGACCCAACACCCCTCTCTCGTAATACTATTTTCCTTCAATGATTGACTCTCCCTCTTGGTCTTAAGTCCTTCTAGTTGTGGAAAATGCCATTTCTGTTAACTAAAAAACCTTTTTACATTTAAAGCATAAGAGTTCAAGTAAAGGGCAGCACACACTTCAGCAAAAATAGCAAATTTCACAATAACATATCCCGCAATCATGGCATCAAAATTTTCTTCTTCCTACCCACCCTGTGGTATATCCAGGTTAATCTGAATTAACTTTAGAGCAATGGGATAGGTCTGTTTAATAACAGGAGGTTTGGTTAAGATACCAATTGTGAAGCAATGCTATATCTCTGAGTAACCGAGAGTCATGAGAATGAATGAAATAAAGATACTAAACATAAAGTGAAACAAGAAGTTAACTATCTTTATCATATTGTGTAAATAACAAACACATTGTGTGTACTTGCTTTATTGACATTGGACAATCACCTTTGCTAGTCAGGTTGAAACCATGTATCAGACTGAACAAAGCCAGTGTTCTTTACTTTGTAAGAAGTGTTGTATTTACCCAGAGCAGCTAGTGCTAAACATATTACTGGTCATTCTTATTCAAACATAGGTGAAGCCTAAATCTTGAGATATTATCTGAACTACTGTTTAAGGATGATGCTGTCAACATCCTTGCCCAATGTGTAGTATTGCAGCAATATTTTCCATGGGCAGAACAGGTATTATCTACTTGAGAATAACAAAGGGACAAATATAATGAAAACAAAATCATCCTAATAGCTTGCTTTACCAAGCTGAAAACTGCACATATTCAGACCATAGAAATTAATGATATGTTCCTATTCCACATTGTTCAGTACAACATAAGTCAGTACATAGTCAGACCAACACAAGATGCATACAATATTCAATAGTAAAGTATACTAACTGTTGTAGACAGTCACAAACACCAGCAGCTGAACTATCAACATATACCACCAGCTTTGGGTTGATTCATCCATTATAGTTGACACCACAAAAAAACAAGTACAGGCAAACATGGACTTTTTTGATTATGATTTATCAATGCTTGATTCTATTTCTGTTCTGTTTAAGAGCATGACTCCCTCACTGTACATGAGGAAATACACTTGTGTTTAAATGCTGCTTAAAGTTTGAACTTTCATACATACAAGTGATCTCATATGCTTTCTTTTAGAAACATAAATCAAACAAAAAAGCCAATGAATTACCAGTTAAGTATTAAGCACAATTATTTAGTTCCATGTACTACACTTGCAGTTTATTGATATCTACATACTATGTTATGTTTAAATGTCATATCAGTAAGTTAACAAATGAAGATGTGAGTTGAATTAAAGGCAAATATGAATTTCTTAAAACTGGTAATTAAAAACTGTAGAAAATGTTGGAGCATGGCAGATGTATTGGTCACATTTGATTTTAAGTATATGACTTTGTTATATAGCTATGTGGTAAGTATTTGGTCTAAAGACTACAGTATTGTCATAGTTATACTTTCAAATGATTACGTACTTTGTGCTGCAGTGATAGGATTTAACAAGTAAGGGGAAATAAGTCACAAATGAATGTAAATGGTATTCCATATGTGTATGTCCTGCTAGCATATCTTGGAAAACCAAACATCCATGAGGTAACATTGTTATTGCATTTGAACATCAGATGCACAGATTACTAATTAATGAATTGGGACACTTATGTTGTAAACATGTCTGTTGGTATTACATATGAGTATGTGCAGTCATTTTATGGGTGTTTCTATAGTTATTGGAATCAGTTTCAGTACTGTTTGTGGTTCAGTTATTGAGTTATGGAGATATATGATTTTTGAAATGTTTTCTCAGATACTAGAATTACTACTAAGTGGTTCATTT